CTCAGCGGGAAGCCTGCTTCTCCCTCTCCCACTCCCCCTGCTTGTGTTCCTGCTCTCACTATCCCTCTCTGTCAAATAAATAAATAAAATCTTTTAAAAAATCAACTGTATTTCTATATACGAGCAACGAACAATCAGAAATGTAACTAATGATGTACTATACAGTGGCTAACTGAACATAATAATGATAATAATAATAATAAAAGAAATTTAAAATTTTTAAAACAATGCCACTCAAAACAGTATCAAAAAATGCAATACTTAGGAATAAATCTGACAAAATACATAAAAGACCCGAACACTGAAAACTACAAAATATTGCTGAAAGAAATGAAAGACCAAAATGAGAGAAAGAGACCTTGTTCAGGAGTCAAAAGACTCAATATTGTTAAGATATCAATTCTCCCCAAACTATTCTACAGAGTTTTTTTTAAAGATTATTTATTTATTTATTTGACAGAGAGAGAGAGAGAGAGAACAAGTAGGCAGAGAGGCAGGCAGAGGGAGAGGGAGAAGCAGGCTCCCCGCTGAGCAGGGAGCCCAAAGCAGGGCTCGATCCCAGGACCCTGGGATCATGACCTGAGCCGAAGGCAGCCGCTTAACCGACTGAGCCACCCAGGCACCCCTATTCTACAGAATTTAATCCAATCCCAATCCAAATCCCGGCAGACTTTTTTTTTTTTTTTCTGGAAACTAAGATGATTCTAAAATGTATATGGGAATGCAAAAAAACTGGACTAGTTAAAACAACACCGAAAAAACAAAGTTGTAGAACTTAAACTACCTGCTTTCAAAGATTGTTAGAAAATTACACAAACCAAAACTGTAAAGATAGAAAATACAACAAGAGAACAGCAGAGAGAGTCTTGGATCCACACACTTACTGATATTTGATACAGGCACAAAAAATAGTAAAGAAAGATAGTCTTTTCAACAAATGATGTTGGGGGGCACCCGGGTGGCTCAGTGGGTTAAGCGTCTGCCTTTGGCTCAGGTCATCATCCCAGGGTCCTGGGATCGAGCCCCGCATCGGGCTCCCCGCTCAGCGGGGAGCCTGCTCCTCCCTCTCCCTCTACCACTCTCCCTGCTTGTGCACTCTCTCTCTCTCAAATAAATAAATAAACAAAATCTTTTAAAAAATTATGCTGGAAGAATTGAGTATCCAGAGGCACAAAAATGAACTTGGACTCATTATTTCATACTACATACAAAAATTTACTCAAAATGGATCAGAAACCTAAATAAGTATAAAACCTAAAACCATAAAACTTCTAAAAGAAAACAAGATCTTTGTGACCTTGAGTTAAATAATCTTAGATGTGACACCAAAAGCACAATCCATAGAAAAGCAGATTGATAAATTTAACTTCATCAAAATTTAGAATTTCTGCTCTTGAAAAGACATTGTGAAGAGAATGAAGAGGCAAGCCACAGACTGGTAGAAAATGCTTGCAAAGCATATACCTGACAAAAGACTTGTATCTAGAATATATAAAGAACTCTTATAACTCAACAATAAGAAAAATAACCCAATAATAATAAAGTGGGCAAAAGGTTTAAGCAGACGTTTCACCAAAGAAAGGTATATGATGGCTAATGAGGACATAAAAATATGTTCAACATCATTAGTCAGGGAAATCTAGAATAAAACCAGAAAGAGACTACACTATATACCTATTAGAATGGCTAAAATTAAAAAGACTGACCATACCAAGTACTGATAAGAATGTGGAACTGGAACTCTCCTACGATACTAGTGGGAATGTAAAATGGTAATTTTTTAAAAAGTTAAATGTACCTCTACTATATCATCCAGTCATACCACTCTTGGTATTTACCCAAGGAAATATATGTACATATAAAGGATTATACACAAATGTTTATAGGAGTTTCATTTGTAGTTGCCCTAAACTGGAAACAACCCAAATGTCCATCAACCAATGAATGAATAAACCCATTATGGTATATCCAAAAGAATACTGATTTTATGATTCCATTCATATAAAACTCTAGAAAATGCAAACTACCCTATGGTGACAGTGGACAGATTAGTGGTTGCTTGAAGATGAGAGGAGCAAGGGAGCAAGAAGAGAGGGACTCTAAGGGACACAAGGAAACTTTGAGAGTAATGGATATGTTTATTGCTTCGATTGTGGTGATGGTTTCATGGAGATATATATATGTCACACCTTATCGGATAGTACAGTTTAAACATATCCAGTTACATGTCAAATATACCTCAAAAGATCTGTTTTTTTTAAATACACCTACAAGTAGATAATAAAAAAGACAAACAACCCTATAAAAGTGGGCAATCTATTTGAACAGACACTTCACAAAAGAAAAATATAGAAATGGCCAGTAAGCACATAAAAACATCATACTCAACATGATTAGTCATCAGGGAGATGATAATTAAAATCACAATGAGTTGCCACTTCACACCCACTCAAATAGCTAAAAATAAAGGCTGACAACCACAAACGCTGAGGAAGATTGGAAAGAAAAGGAACTTTCATACATTTCTGGTGGGAACGTAAATTGTACAACCACTTTACAGAATATTCTGGCAGTTTCTCATAAAACAACTATCCTATGACGTGGCAATTCCCTTTCTAGGTACTTATCTGAGTAAAATGAAAGCATATGTCTACAAAAACTTGTACACAAATGTTCATAGCAGCCTTATTTATAATAGTCCAAAATGGAAACCGCCCAGATCATAAACTGGTGAATGAATAAACCAACTCGGATATATCCAGACAATGGAATACTACTCAGTAATAAAAGGAAAAAAGCAATAACACATTCAACAACATAGATAAATCCCAACATCATACTGAGTGAAAGAATCCAGACACGTAATAGTATATACTGTATGATTCCATTCATATAAGTTCTCAAATAGGCAAAAGGTATCTGTGGTGGAGAAAAATTAGAACCATGGTTACCTCTGTGTGGGATTGTGGTGGTGACTGACTGGAAATGCGCACAAGGGAAATTTCAGAGGTGCTGAGTGTTCTATATCTTGACAGGAGATTGGAGTATGCGTTTGTCAAAACTCACTACATGGGGCACTTAAGATTTGTGTGTTTCACTGTATTAAATTTTACCTGCAAAAAAAAAAAATCAGTAAATAAGGGTACGCCTGGGTGACTCAGTCGGTTAAGCATCTGCCTTCTGCTCAGGTCATGATCCCAGGGTCCTGGGATTGAGACTTGCATCAGGCTCCCTGCTCAGCAGGGAGCCTGCTTCTCCCTCTGCCTGCCTCTCTCTCTCTCTCTCTCTGACAAATAAATAAATACAATCTTAAAAAAAAAAAAAAAAAAACCAGAACAGTAGGGGCGCCTGGGTGGCTCAGTCGTTAGGTGTCTGCCTTCAGCTCAGGTCATGGTCCCAGGGTCCTGGGATCAAGCCCCGCATGGGGCTCCCCGCTCCGCGGGAAGCCTGCTTCTCCCTCTCCCACTCCTCCCTGCTTGTATTCCCTCTTGCTGTGTCTCTCTCTGTCAAATAAATAAATAAAATCTTAAAAAAAAAAAAAAAACAGTAAACAGGTATTGATCTCTAGCTAATGTTATGCATGCTGAAGTGTTTGGGGGTGAAGCCTACTGATGTCTGTAGCTCACTTTGAAATGGATCAGTAAAATAAGGATGACCTTCCAGTCAAGCAAGTATAGCATAATGCTAATTGTAGAATATTAGTGTTTGGTACCTAAGTACAGATCTTTGAATTGATCTGTATATTGCAAAGTTTTCATAATAAAATCTGAAGGAAAAGTAAGAAAAAAAGTTGTTAACATGTAATGGATAAAATTGTCACAAGAATATTTAAGAAGTTGGTTATCATTATCACTAATAAAGCATTAAATGTTTATTAATAAAGGATGAAAAACGTGTTAAACCGTGTCTTTTAGACTCCGTTTCAGTGCCCAGCTTCACCCCACCAGTGTGGCTCTTTTTTCGCTTGGCTTACTACAGTCCAGCATTTTCCTTTTGGTCTTAGAATATACCCATTTTATTCCTGGCAGAAGGCATTTACACTTGCTGTCCCTTTTGCCTTCAGATGCCCTTCCTGTCTTCAACAAGCTTCACATGGTTGAGTCCTTGTCATTCAAGTCTCACATCAACGATAGCCTCACCGAATCCCCCCACCATCACTTCCCAAACATCACCTTAACTGATGCTCTTCACAGTTCCTATCACTCTTATGTGTTGTATGCTGACCCTTGTTTATTACCGTCTTCCTTAGGAAACAGGAGTCTTCAAGAAAGCATCAACGGGCTTAGCACACTGCCGCGCAAAGGCAGCTTCCTAGATTTCTGATGACTGGCACCAAAGTCTTCTGGAACTGGCTGCAACGCCCCCCCCCCCCCCCGCGAAGACTCCCGTTGGTTTTTCTTCATAGTATGACCTATTTTGAAATTAACTCAAATACTTTTCCCCTCTACCCCCATTCCCACACTCGTGCGCGCATACCCGCACATACTCACAGGAGCTCTTGGGCGCCAAATGCGCGCCCCCTGAGGGCAGGGACGCGGCCTGGTTTTGCTCACAGCTCTATTCTTCCAGCAAAGGGCTCACAGTAACACTGGTGACTCAGTGAGGCGCTTCGACCCCTCCCGTGAGATCTGGCTTTGCTCTGCTTTGCTTTCTGTTCCCATCCCCCCGCTCACGCCCGTCCAGAAGGCGCCCGAGGGGGCGGGGTTCTTTCCATCCCTTCATTCCTTCCTTCATGGGCTAGTTGGTTGGTTCGCTCATTCATTCATTCGTTCGTTCGTTTGTTCATTCATTCACTCGTACATTCATTCCAGTCCTCCCCCCTCCGCTAGGCAACGGGCCCGCACGCGCAGATCCCCCGTGGTCGCGCCTGACCCTCCCCCCGGGCCTCAGCCCCGCCCCCTTCCCGCCCCGCCCCCTCTCCAGGCCAATTGGGGCTGGCTGGCCGGGCGGGGCCGGGGCCGGGGCGGGGCTTTGCTCCCCCACTACCCCCGGCGGCGCCGGCGGCTCCGGAAACGCGCCGCGGGGCTGCTGGGCTCAGCCGGGCGCTGGCGGCTCCGTGGCGTTTCCTGCCACGCCGGGCCTGCCTGGGCCGCGCCAGCGCCGCTCCACCGAGGGCTGCGCGTCGGCCGCCACGGGGCCGGGGTGAGCATGAGGGCCACGGGAGGATGTGCCCAGGGTGCGGGAGGGTGTGCGGGATCGGGCTGACCGTTTGGGCCACGGGAGGATGCGCAGGGGGGCAGCCTGAGAGAGTGCGCGGGGCTAGGGTGAGTGTTCCGCAGAGTGTGCGGTAGGTGGAGACCAAGCGTTTTGGGGGGGCGTTTCTGGGCCCGCAGGGCCCGCAGGAAACTGCTCGGCCCTGAGGCCATCCAGAGTGAAGGACGAGTCCCAGATGGCGGGTGCGAGGAGGCCCGAAGGCCTTCTCGCGGCGGGCGGGGGGCGGCGGTCAGGGGCGGGAATCGCGGATGTGCCGAGGCCTACGCTGCTTTTGGGGGGGAACCCTGGGAACTGGTCATTATGGGAAGGAGGGGACCCCTGCCCCAAGCGCAATGGAGGCTGAGGGGGGAGGGGGCGTTGGGAAGGTTAAAGGGCTTTCCCCCAGTCTGGGGGAGGGGCTGAGCCGCAGTCTGGGGCGCTGGGTGGATGAGCTGCGAAGGGTTCCTGCTGATGGAGTTCCTCCTTTCCTTTTGGGTGGAGGTTGAGCCTCAGGTTGGTGGGGAGGGATGGGGGGATAGCCCAGAGCCCAAGAGCTGTGAGGGAGCGCGAGGGGGCAGCGCTTGCTGGGGGAAGATGAGCTCAAGGCTCTAGGTCTGAACAGGGCTTTTTTTGTCGTCCTTCTGGGGGCCACCATCTCCTCCTCCTGTGCCTCCCCCTTAAACCCCTTTGCTGCCTCTAGTCTATATTTGGGTGATTAATTACATGTCTTTTTCCATCCTACCCCCACAAACACACACTTGCCTGCCGCCCAAAGCCCATGGTCCCTTTCAAACAACCCCCCCCCCCCAATCCTGGCCCTCTTCCCAGAGGTCCCACCCTGTTCCAACTGACGCCCTCCAGCCAACGTTGGCCTAGCCTGGCTGCCAGCCCCCTTCAGTCTCCTTGGTCAGTGAAATATTTTCTCTTAAACCTCAGACCCGACATTTTTCCTTTACCAAAGGATTTCAGAGGAGATTGCCAGAACAGCACCCCCTCTGGGTACTGATGCCTACTCACCCCCTTCCCCATCCTCCCTCCCCCATTGAGCCTTTAAGTAGAAGCAGCTTGCCAGGCACAGTCCAGTCCATTCCCCCCAAAATGTCCCTGGATCTATGTTTAGAATCCTATTGAACAGTGATTTGCAGCCTTCTTTGAGTGAGAGACCCCTTGGAAAATCACTAGAAAGTGTGAATTCTCTTCCCAGGAGTCTGACAATTGGCGCAGACAGTGGGATCCCATCCCGGAAGCTCACAGGCCTGAGTCCTGTCTGCCGAGTGCTGGTGGTGAGGAAGACTCCAGATTCTAGATAGGCCCAGTACTAACAAGGCACAGTTCTACCTTCCAATCCCCAAAGTGCTGGCTGCAAATGCAGATTCCTTGGCCCCACCCACACCTGCTACTCTGCCCCTTGAGTTCTTAGCAAACCCGAAGCCAGGATTCTCGTGCACTGATCCAGCCTCGGTCCTAACCTGCCTGGGCTCCCCAAATGAGCATCCCTCATACCTGTGTAGACTCTCTCCTATCCAGGGCAATGTAACCTAAACAAACCTATACTTATAATTTATTTTGATTTTTAGTAAGATGCCATGCGTCTTCTTGGGAAAGGGGGAACATAAACCTTTTCTCAATTAAGTACAACAAACACTACAAAATCCCCTTCTGGTCTACCTTCTGGCTTTTTATAGAAGGGAAAGAAAACGGAAACCTAAAGAGAGAGGGACAGGTGCCCAGGCAAAGTGAGAGAGGAAAACCGGGGAAGATGGAGACAGATGCCTCCCACCCACGCACACAGAAAAAGACACGCACAGACACAAACATCCCAAGAGAAACAGACTTTCCTGGTGAAACACCCGCTCTTGGCCCTTTAGGATTCTGCCACTTCTAGCCGCAGTGCGTTTGCACAATACTGGGTGGGCCCCGATAAGGCCTTTGTGGCCACATCCTGGTGAGACAAGTTGAGAGCACGTGGAGGCCAACTTCAGCTCCAGCCCAGAGGCTTGGGTCAGCATCCTGGCCTTGCCTGGCTGGGTTGGACTGGGATCTTGGCAGTGTGTGTTGTCTCATCCTGTCCTTCGGTCAAGCACTCATGACCCAAAGAGACATGTTCCTGGAAGGTGCACCCGAGTCTGCTTCTGTCCCCCTGAATTATTTCAGTCCCAACAGGTGGGACATTACCTGCCTGACTTATCACTCAGAATTGGCCTGAGACACAATGAGCCATCCTTGCATGTCTCTCTGGGGTGAGTCTGGGGGTTTACAGACCATGTCTGCTGGCCTTAAAGCTGGTCGTGCTGTCAGAAGGCCCCATGGGTGAGGATGCAAGATGGTGGGAAGTATCCTTTCGTTTCTGGAAGCACTTCTGTTTGCATATATGTCAGCGTCACTGAGCCGTCTTTGCCCAGGGACAGCCCTCGGTGTGAGCAACAAGACTCGAGGGAGGACAGACACCCAGTGAGGAGAACTGGGAATCTAGGCAGTCATTTGCATGGGACAGAAAGCCACAGGCACCCATCTGCATTAGTGCTGAGGAGTGAGGTCTCTTGTCTGACCTATAAAGACACCCTCCAGGGCATTTTTGCTCTGCCCAGAACTGAACACCACGAGCTCGCTATTGTCTTCCAGGGCCTGAGGACATTCTGCCACAGGTCCTTGTTTAGATGTTCCAGGGAGTCCAGGTATTTCTGGCATCCCTTAGAAGTTTCTGGAAGCTGCTTGATAGAGCCAGTTCGGGTGGCCTTGCTGCCTCTCCCCTGCCCCACTGCCCAGGGGAAAAGGGTACCTGCTAGGGAGGTTGCATGGCTGTTGGTGCCATGGAATTGATGAAATACTGATCTTTTAGGCTCAGATGCAAACTTTACTAGTACATTCTGAGGAGGGATTCTGAGCTCACACGTCACCTTTTAAAGACACCTAATTATTCACTACTTTTTTGACATGGGTTGGTTTTTGTCTCCATTGAATTCAACTCTTAATTTCTGTTCTTTCATATCAAAGTGGAATGGTTATTTTGGTTCTCAGCGTTTCTGATTCTATACAGAAAATTTGATTTAAAGAAGTTGATTAGAATTTACATTGCCATCTAAAGCACATATGAGGAATATTTCTGCACTCACATGAGCTCTCGTGTTGTAGAATACATGATTTTTCAGATTGTCAGGCAGGGGTTTAGCACCGAGAGGATCTCCCTGTGCTCATCAAACAGTTGCAGTCTCTCTGGCACTTTGCTTGGTCCAGGGTGGAATCTGCCGTCAACCTTTGCTAGGGCCTTCACTCTCTGGGAGTGCATAGGCATTAGACTATACTTCAGATCCCACTTAAAGAAGGAGAACAATATTATTTATATTAAGAGACAGAGATTTGTTTTTCCATAATCTTTCTCCAAACTGCCATTTCCCAGGTGGGTGTAGGAGTGCACCTTATGAGTTTTGGGTGAATCCAAGTGCCTTATGGTCAAGGTCAGCATCGTCTTCTGTATCCCATCAGGTGCATTACTATGGTGTTCATATTCTTCCTGGAATTGCTTTGACCTTGACCCCTGCAAGTCCACTTTTGGAAGGCAGTGGACAACTGTATTTGTCACTCTTGTCACAGCATCCGGCTTCTTTCCCAGGTTCCACCATTTCAAAGCAGAGCGGTCGTACAGCATGGCTTCTAAATGATCAGATGATCTTCGGGATTGGTGATAATTTACTTTTAACTGCAGTGGGGGGTTAATGTGTATTTTATCATACAGAATTTAGCAACTTTTGTGAAAGAAGGGCTCACTTTTTCCCTCCTATTTTTATGAGCACTTTCTAAATGATCTCTGTATGTCCGTGAGTGCTGGGACTGTGTGTGGTGATCTGAAGTTCTTGCAGGTTAGGTCCCCTGGGCAAGCCTGATACAGGAAGGGCCACTCCTGTTGCTGCATGGGAAAGGATAATTAATAATTCACTTGGGGGTTGTGGCTTGAGGATTTCAACAGTTAATCATTCCAATTAAGTAAAAACACTTTGATAGGATCTGCTCAATTAAATAGAACGCTTCAGGAGGATGTGCTCAATTAAACATGGGTGGCTTGGAAGAACTGTGTGTAAGTGTGAGTGTGAGAGAGAGAGAGAGAGAGAGAGAGAGAGAGAATGATGTGTGTGACTAGCGCCCAGTGAGGGTCTCTGATGGTATATCAAAAGGATGATTTAAAGCCAGTCCCCTAAGTCCATATATATCGTTAGGCTATTAGGACATTCAGTAACTGCCTATTCTCTGGATATGGCCTGGTGTTAGAGGGCTGCATATTTCCTTTCTTTGGTGTGGCTTGAAAAGTCTTAAATCTTGGGAGCTGGGCCTCAGGCAAGTTACTTAACCTCTTGGATCCATGACTTCCTTCTGTGTAAAATGGAGGTGGTAATAACTATTGGTTGCAGTAATTAAATGACGTGAAGGGAGAAGCACAGTACCAAACATGTAGTAGGTACTCTGTAACTAGAGGTTTGCTCCATTTAACGTGCCCCTCCCCCCACAGTTTATCCCATGTCCACTCGGCGCCAGGAGCTCCTGCAGATGCTGGGGATCCAGGGGTGACCAGGAAAGAGAAGGTCTCTATCCTTTGGGAGGTGACGTTTCTCCTGGGGAGTCAGGTAAAGACAATTTCATTTCAGAGGATGATTTTTAGGTAGTGAAAAGTGTTACGAGTAAACGGTGATTGGGCTCGAGAGTGAAGACACTTTAGGAGGTAACACTTGAATGAGGCCTGAATTCTTAGCAGGAACTACCTGTGGCATGTTCAGAGCCCCGAGGGGCATCACCTTGGCATATTTAGGACAGAATGAATGTCAGGGTGTCTGGAAGGAATGACTGAGATGCGGGGTGCAGGATTTGGGCCAGGTGCGCTGGGCCAGGTCTTTGTAAGGGGTTAAGGCCTTAGGTCTCGGGCTTGAGGACAGTGAGACAAGTTTTAACAGGCCATCTTTTTCAGAAGGTAAATATGAGATGCTCTGTCCATTCCACTTGGCAGCAAAACCTCAATGTCAATGGAAGTGAGTTTTCTTAATGAATTGTATCAGTAATCTACGACCAGTTTGTTTTGTATTGGAAGCCAAAGTCAAACCAGACATCAAATGTATACCAGGAAGAATCCCAACTGCTCAGAGGGGGCCCTACCCAGGTGCCAGTGGGACACAGAGAGCTTGGCCGCTGGGTACCTGGGGCTTCACTCACACACGAGGGAAGCACCTGTGCTGGGCAGTGGGTTAGAGAAGGGAATGGGGCTTCTGTGGATGTTGAGACTAAATGAGGCCTTCTGCTCACACCCATCCATGGCACTGAGAGCCTGGGGAGATGAGCCCAGGAAGTCCCAACCCCGTGGTCCTATCCCTGAGCTTTCTGGGCCTGCCCACACATTGCTCTCAGCCCTTCTCCCCTGTGTCTGCCATGCCCGTGTGGGTACCTCAGGATGTTGCTCAGCTTTCAGGGCCATTCCCCATTGTTTCCTTGGCCTCAGCCCTACCCCCTCACATGCTAAGAATCTTTCTTATCTGAAGCCTACCCAAATCTTTTTAAATTGTTATTCTTTTCTGATTACCAAAGAAATGCAGCTTGGTTACTAAAAATTCACGTGTTGCAGAAACAGAAAGCAGAAGACCTTTCTAAATCTAGACTCTACCCCAGGGTGGCACACATTACAGTATGGGTGTGCTTATTTTAGCTGCAAGTCACTCCGTTTACTCCTTTTTTCTCCCGAAATGTAAATGTATACTTAGCTGTTCTCTCCCCTTCCCCTACTCTCTTTGGATTTTTTAGTAAACAGTTACTGTCTGTCTCCATCTTCTATGAAGGATTTGAATTTTTGTAATCTGTGTGTCATCCGTATTAGCCACCTGTTGATTTTTTTTTTTTCATTTTTATTTCTTTTTCTTTTTCTTGTTGTCTACCACTTGCTGATTTTATGTTTAAGCTCTCCAGTTTTCTTCCTGCTCTGAGTTCTAGGACTCTTCAGTAAGGTCTCCAGAGCTCTGAGCCACATTCATCATTCCCCCTCTCCTCTTCTTATTTTTTTTTTTAAAGATTTTATTTATTTATTTGAGAGAGAGAATGAGAGACAGCACAAGAGGGAAGAGGGTCAGAGGGAGAAGCAGGCCCCCCGCTGAGCAGGGAGCCCGATGCGGGACTCGATCCCGGGACTCCAGGATCATGACCTGAGCCGAAGGCAGTCGCTTAACCAACTGAGCCACCTAGGCGCCCCTCCTCTTCTTATTTTTGACATGGGGATTATTTAGACCTATGGTATATTGTTTTCCATCGTTTTACTTTTCACCTATCTATGTCTTTACATTTAAAGTCTTTATGTTTAAAGTTTCTTACAGACAGCATAGAGTTGAGTATTGTTTTTAATATAGTCTAATAATCTCTGCCTTTCAATTGGAGTGTTTAGTCCATTTAAATTTAACTTAATTATCCATGAGGTTGGATTTAAGTTTGCCATCTTGCTATTTGTTTCTATTTATTCTGTCTGTTCTTTTTCCTTTGTTTCTTTACTCTTTTGGATTATTTTTTAGAATTGTATTTTATCTCCACTCCTGGCTTATTAACATGCATCAGAGTCTCAGAGGGCTTCCTTAAACACACAATCGTATGTTTTATTTATATGTATGTTATAAAACCCACAGTACCTTATTATTATTTTTGCTTTAAATGGTCAGTTATTTTTTAAAGATTTAAAAATAAAGGGGGTAAAAATGTTTTTACATTCCTGGTGTTCTTCATTCCTTTGTGTCCATCCAAGTTTCCATCTGGTATCATTTTCCTTCACTTGAAGAACTTTCTTTAATATGTCTCATAGTACAGGTCTGCTGGTGACCAATTCCCTCAGCTTTTTGTCTGAAAAAGTTTTTATTTTGCCTTCATTTTTGAAGGGCATTTTCCCTGAACATAGAATTCTAAGTTGACAGGGTTTTTTTTTTCCATTAGCACTTTAAAAGTGTCATTCAACTGTTTGCTGGCTTGCACATTTTCTGATAAGAAGTCCATAGTTATTCTTATCTTTGCGCTTCTGTATATAACATGTCCCCCTCCCCCCTCACCCCCCCCGCTGCTCTAAGATTTTCTCTTTATCACTAGTTTTCAGCAATTTTATTATGACGTGTTTTGGTATATGTATGTGGTTTTTTTGGTTTTGTTGTTTGTTTAGTCTTGGTAAGGGTTGGCTGGGCTTCTTAGATCTAGTTTTCATCAAATTTGGGGGAAAAAATTTCAACCATTATTTCTTCAACTATATTTTTATCCTTTCCCCCTTTTCTTCGTCTTTTCAGATTCCAGTTACATGTGTGTTAGATGATTTTCCATTATGTCCAGGTCATTGAGACTGTTTTGTAAATATCTTTTTTTTTTTTCATTTTGATCTTCATTTGGGTTAGTTTCTATTGCTATATCGTCAAGTTTTCTAATCTTTTGGGGGGTGGGGGTTGGACCCTGAACATCTCCCTACCTGTGTGTATCCTGGGAATTGTTCAGCTTAAATCTAATCCTTCTTTTTATCCTCAAGTTTTCTAATCCAGTGTCTAATCTGCTGTTAATCACATCCAGTGAAATTTTCTTTTTTTTTTAAAAAAAAATTTTATTTATTTATTCATGAGAGACAGAGAGAGAGAGAGAGAGAGGCAGAGGGAGAAGCAGGCTCCCAAGGAGCAGGGAGCCCAATGCGGGACTCGATCCCAGGACCCTGAGATCATGACCTGAGCCGAAGGCAGACGCTTAACCATCTGAGCCACCCAGGCACCCCCAGTGAAATTTTCATTTTAACTGTTATAGTTTTCACCTCCAGAAAGCCCATTTGGATCTTGTTTATATTGTCCATTTTTTTCATTATGTTTCTGTTTTTCTTTCAATATTTATACATAGTTAAACTAGCTGTTATCCTTATCGGTAAGTTCTACCAGTAATCATTTTTGAGTATTTCTGTTGACCTGATTTTCCTTGCCATGGATCACAGTTTCCTGCTTCTTGGCATTTCAGTAATTTTATCTTGGCTGTTGGACGTCATAGAGATCATATTGTTGAGTGTCTAGATTTTGTTATTTCACTTTGAAAAGGGTTGGACTTCCTTTGGGGAGGTAGTTATTTGTGGACCAGCTTCATCACATTGAGGCCTATTTGTAAGCTTTTCTAGAGCAGGTGCGGGGTAGCTGTGGCCCCAGGAGTCAGTCAGTCCTTCTACTAAGGCATGGCCCCTCTGAGTCTCTACTGAGTGGCCCAGGTGATCACTGAGGACTCTTTACTCTGGTTGGTTGAACCCTGAACATCTCGCTACCTGTGTGTGTCCTGGGAATTGTTCAGCTTAAAGCTTCCTGGCAGTTCTTTTCCTAGTCTTTGGGAGTTTTATTATGTATGCGTGGCTTGGGAGTCAGGAAAGGCTCAAGGGGAGCCTTATGCTGATTTTTTGGAGCTCTTTTTTTCTGCGTAGCTCCCCCCTTTCTGGAACTCTGCTCTGCAACTTCTAGCTGCATCAACTGCCCTGGATGCTAGTCTGTGTCTTGATGAAGCCACCAAGCTCCGTTTGAGTCCCCCTTCCCGGCACCCTCAGTCTAGAAATTGCCTCCAGGCAGAACCGGGGCAATGATAAGGCTCATCTCAGTTGTTCCTCTTCTCTCGGGGTGATGATCCTGCACTTCCTGCTGCCCAATTATCTGAAAACTTGTTTCAAATCTATTTTGTCCAGTTTTTTTTTAAAGATTTTTATTTATTTCTTTGACAGAGAGAGACACAGCGAGAGCGGGAACACAAGCAGGGGGAGTGGGAGAGGGAGAAGCAGGCTCCTCGCGGAGCAGGGAGCCCGATGCGGGGCTCGATCCCAGGACCCTGGGATCATGACCTGAGCCGAAGGCAGACGCTTAACGACTGAGCCACCTTATGGCAGGGCATTGTTCTTTGTTAACAATATCATAGCCAGAAGTAGAAGGGTCTGTCTATCCCTTTCAATATGTGATTTTATGTAAAAGTCTTTCCGGAGTGTCTGGGTCTTCTACTCCTTGAGCTAGTGTAAAAATGCCTCCTTTTCATTTAGTTAGGAATTAAATTGAATTGACCTGACATCAGAACAGAAACTGTGTTCCTGTTTCTTTTGAATTCGCTGAAATGGGAGGCCTCTGAGGCACACACCTTTGTGGTAATATAATTACACCATTCCACGTATTTTGCAATCTGGAAGAAAAAGGTAAATTGTACATATTGTTCAGATCTTTTATTTAGCAACTTGGTGTTTGAAGATCTTTTCTTTGAGGCTTCTCTTTCTAGTTGTTTTGTCCAACTTTTCGTTTTGTCAGACATTTCACAGAAATGTTCTTGTCTGCATCTGTCTCACTGTCACCTGGTTGACTGTTTGAGCTGGGTGGGGTATGGCCTCTAAAAGGCCTTGCTTCTGGCCCACAACACCTGGATCCTGCTCTTTTGTTGCCTCTCTTCGCTCCAGTGGCCCAGTCTTTTCTGTTGCCCTTACAAAGTTGGAAAGATCTCTCACTTCTCGCTTAGTTATTTCTTCTGATATTCTTTTGGGGACGCTTCCTTCCTACGCAGTGTGAGCCTTGACCTCTTTGAGGCTGGCTGCTGGGAGGCCTGTGGCCGGCCTGTCTCAGAGAGCCAGTCTCGCCACCGTCTCCATCTGTGTCTGTATTCCCTGGGCTGTTCCCGGGCCAGCGTTCATTTGTCTTGTCTGGGTTCCCCCTGGCCTGCCTGTATTAATTCTTTGCCAGTCTGTTTCCCCCAGTGTTTGGGGTATGTGTTCTCAGGCACACCTGTGCTCTGGCTTGTCACTCAGCTGCTGGGCAAGAGAAGACTGAATAAGATTTAAAACCAGGGAAAAGGAAATCACTAATCTTGTCCTAGGGGACCCAAAGGCAGGGCTGCTGTCACTCATGGCTCTTTTCACTTTCCTTAGCTCTGCCTGCCCCCCACCCCCCCCAGGGTCTTGCCCTCCCCCAGGATGGAGCCCCAGGAAACCAGGTCCTGGCAAGCCCTCTTGAGATACTCGAGGCCCAGGTGAGCTGTGCTTCCCTCTGCCTGGCTTAGGAATCTGTCACTGCTCCCTGATTGTGGCCGTGACCTCTACCTCGTTTCCCAGCATGACACACTACGGGACCTGAACTCCAGCTTATGCCTGTCCTCCCTCTGCTTTCTTCCCGAGTCTACCAAGAAATGGACGCCTGCTGGGGTTGTAATTCCCATTATGCTGGTGGGGGAGCTGCATTTCGGTCCAGGAAAGCGATTGTACTGAGGTCCCTCGGGAAGACAGTGGGAGGCCCGGGCCATGGCCCAGGTGTTCTGATGCTTGGTCAGATTCTCTTTCCAGGACTTCTTTAGGCTTGTGCTTAGATCTCCATGCTAGCGACGCACACCCACTCCAGACCCTCACCTCTTATCCCTGCTGTTACTAGTGCTCCCCCCACCTCATTCTAGAACGGATAGAAGGACAACTTATCCCTGGGAATTCTTTCAGGATTCAGTGACAGTTGACGACGTGGCACAGTACCTCACAAAAGGAGTGATTGAGACTGGACGCCGAGCAGAGGACACTGGCATATTACGGGAATGCGACCTCCGTGGGTAAGGATGGCCCTAGCCCCTTCCACCAGCTTCCCCACAGCTGCATGGTCCTACACAGCTGGGTGTGGGGTTAGGGCCACCCGGAGTAGCCCTACACAAGCTTGCCTTCTGGGGCCTTATACCGCCCCCACCCTGGGGATCGGCTGTAAGAAAACCCAAAGTGCCTGCCACCCTCAGCGTTTCTTTTTCTTTTTTTCTTCTCTTTGGTCAACATTTCAAAGTAGCAGGGCTCCCTCCCAACTCCTAATGGCATGGAAAGAAGCCCTGTCAGTGTTTTCGTGGGAAAGAAATTAGAACAAACGGGCCACTGTCATCTAGGAAACTTTTTTAAAAAATCACGAATTACCCAAAAATCACACGGCCATTTTATTATGGTTTACTGTTGAGGGAGAGGTTGACGCAGCAAGGCCCTCTGCCCTATCAGGGGCTGCCCCTGTGCGGTGGGCAGGGTCGCTAAGACAGGAGCCCGCCGGGGGTGAGGTTTGGGCACAGTGCGAAGTGCGGTGAGCGGGCACTGGGGAATGTGAACCCGGAGAAAGGGAGGGTCAGCGCTCCTGGATGGCCGCCTGGCACTGCATCCGGGGGGGCCCGGGGTCTGCCTCATCCGTTCCCTGGAGGGAGCCAGCCCTCGGGGAAGGCATTTGGAACGGATGAACGACGTGCCTGAGGGCACAGCCACGCTCGACTTTGTGGCTTAAAAGGGTTTCATCTTTGAAGGCCCTGCCCCGCTCTGGCTGCCGGCAAAGCCCTTTTCCTTTTCCGTGAGCAGGAGTTCCTGTTGTGAATCCGACCTGGTGTGAGGACACGCGCTGCTGGTATCTGCCCCATCCCCTATTGCCGAGCGAGCGAAGCATTCTGGTGAGTGCAAAAGAAACCCGAAAAATGAAACCGTTGTGGGGGGACACCCAGCTGAGCCTGTGGGGAGGAGGTGCGGCCGCTGCTCTCCCACAGAGCGGGGAGAGCTCCTCAGGGCCGCTTCAGTGGTAGGGGGTGGGCAGCAAGGAGGCCTGTCTGCGCCTTTCGTCTGTCGTCCTTGCCTCTAGTTGGATGGGCACCAGCCGGCCTGCCCGCAGCCTCTCCGGGCGCTGTGTTCAGCAGCTGTGTCAGGAGGACTGCGATTCTCGACAAAGGAAAGTAACCTCCTTCCTTCCTCCTCCTCCTCCTCCTCCTCTGCAGAGGACCAGTGTCTCGCGGTTCTCATGTCAGAAGGCATCTTGGTGACCCAGCAGCAGGCGATGGGTGAAGAAGCTCAGCCGCAGGAGATGGCATCCACGAGCTCCCCGCGGGCCGGGGAGCCCAGCCCCGGGCTCAGACAGAACAGGGGCTCGGAGGGGGGCGGGGGGAGCCTTCAGAACCGGCCTATGGAGCATCACTTCGCGTGTAAAGAGTGCGGGGATGCCTTCCGGCTTAAGGTCCTCCTCGTGCAGCACCAGAGAATTCACAGTGAGGGGAAGGGCTGGAAGTGTGGTGATTGCGGGCAGGTCTTCAGGGGGGTCTCGGAGTTCAACGAGCACCGGCTGGGCCACGTGGCCGCAGAGCCCCAGCCTGGCCCCAGCCGAGCCCCGGAAGATGCTCCGGAGAGAAGGGAGCAAACGGAGAGGGAGGCGAAGCCTTTCGAGTGCGCGGAATGCGGGAAGAGGTTTAAGAAGAACGCGGGCCTCAGTCAGCACCTGCGGGTGCACAGCCGGGAGAAGCCCTTTGACTGTGAGGAGTGCGGGCGGTCCTTCAAGGTGAGCACGCACCTCTTCCGCCACCAGAAGCTGCACACGGCCGAGAAGCCGTTCGCCTGCAGGGCGTGTGGCCGCGAGTTCCTGGATCGCCAGGAGCTTCTCAAGCACCAGCGGGCGCACACCGGCCACCTGCCCTTCGACTGCGACGACTGCGGCAAGTCCTTCCGCGGCGTCAACGGCCTGGCCGAGCACCAGCGCATCCACAGCGGCGCCAAGCCGTATGGGTGTCCCCACTGCGGCAAGCTCTTCCGCAGGAGCTCGGAGCTCACCAAGCACCGGCGCATCCACACGGGCGAGAAGCCGTACGCGTGCGGCGAGTGCGGCAAGGCCTTCCGCCAGAGCTCCAGCCTCCTGGAGCACCAGCGCATCCACACGGGCGAGCGGCCCTACGGCTGCGGCGACTGCGGCAAGGCCTTCCGGGGCCCGTCCGACCTCATCAAGCACCGGCGCATCCACAGCGGCCTGAAGCCGTACGAGTGCGACAAGTGCGGGAAGGCCTTCCGGAGGAGCTCGGGCCTCAGCCGCCACCGGAGGACCCACAGCGGAGCGAGGCGCTGCGAGTGCAGCGCGTGCGGCCGCGTGTTCAAGAGGCGCTCGGCGCTGCAGAAGCACCAGCCCACCCACCACGCCTAGGCGAGGCCCCGCCAGGCCCCGAGGCCCCGGGCGCGGCGGCGGCGGCGGCGGCGGCGGCGGCGGCGGCGGGTCCCCGGAGGGGCGGGGCGGAGGCAAGGAGATGAGCGGTCCCGCAGCGCTGATGCACTTTCGCGTCACCGAGGTCGAATCCAGCCTATACTGGCACCAGCAGTTTCTAAGCGTGCGTGTTCCCCATTTGGCCTATCGACAGCAGCTTCTCCGACGGCCTACTTTATTTGGACCAGTGTGACGGGCATCAGGTCCCTTCAAGGTTTTCCAGCCCGCGGGCCTTGAGCCCAGAATGAGAGGAGAGGAACCTGCGCGTGGGGGTGGAGCGGGGCGTGTAGGTCCCCTTCTCCTGGCTGCTCCCTCCGGGGACGGGCCGCGGAGCTAGTCAGCAGCGATGGCCTCGATGGAATGGGACCCCAGCTTTCCTGAAGACAAGATAGAGCCCCAGAGTTGTTTGGCCTACTTGAATTTATAAATTGTTAGGGATGTACATAGAACCCTCAGATGTCTTGTAATATTTAATTTATTAATTCAGTTATACGTACAGACTGTAAATCACGGATTACACAGAATAATATATTACTGTAGAAAATACTCCTGTTTTGCCCTCACGCCACTCCACAAGATGATTGCATTCGGAATCCTCACATGCATCTCTGACCTCACCGTCTTCACCAACCTCGTAGCCCCTTTTGAGTCCCCCGACAGTTTAAAAGCACATCCGGTGGCTTCCACCCATCGAAGCTGTGTGCCCAAGGCTCTCACTAGAAACTTCCTCCTAAGCCATAATGACGTGTTCACATCACGTTAGGACAGTTGGTGGTGGTGGTGGTGTTTTTAAACTTGTCCCATAGCTCTACACCATAACCACTTACCGTGTTTGCCTTTCTTAAATGACCGTCAAAAGACTTTTTTGACGCATCTATAACTTGGCATTGTGAGGTCATACTCCCAGGAATAAGTACTGAATCTGGCCTAAATTGCTTTTGCGTCCATTTTTCTTCAGCCGGTCCGTTCTGGTGACCTCCGTGTGCGTCCAAAACTAGCATCAGTTGGGGTCTGTTGCGGGTTCATAGGTCTTGTCCTCAAGCAGTACTGTTCTGTTCAAGCTCAAGTAGTTGAGAGAGCATCCCCATAACAGGGACATCTCAAGGACTCAAGTATGAGGTGATGCCTCTTTTTCGGGAGCGACAGCCTCTCCTCCTGTGGAGGCAGCCCTCCGTTTCGGGCTCTGTAACACAGGGGTGATCACAGGACTACCTCCTAAGGTTATCGTGAGAACTGCGACGCCACGCCTGGCCCGAGGGTGCACTCAGTGAAGGTCGTCTGCTGTCATCACCATAATTATTGCTGTCGTTCTATGGCTCCTCAGTACGGACCTGGGGATGGACCCAGGCCTCCTGACTGCTAGTCTCCTCTTCTTTCTCTCGTGCAATGACTTAAGTCGTGTTCCTGTTTTCTTGCATGCAAACCGTACGTTCATCTCCTTTGACCAGTTATCAAGTTACCTTTGGATATATTGACTTTATACAGCGGTTCTTTCTATATCGATTGTGATGATCTCTTTTCCCGTTTTATTGCTTTGCTCTTGGTAGCAGTTTTATTACATTTTTGTCGTGCGAGCTTTAAGTTTTACATATCTGAGCACTCACCGTTGTCCGTTAAGCCGTAACTTTCATTGCTTCCATACTTAGATACGATGATGTTTTCTTCTAGAATTTTAATTACAAATGAAAAGTTGAAAGCCCTGCCCCACCAGAAGGTGGATGCCCCAGGTGGGCAGGCTGGATGGGAAGGGGCCAGAGAAGCAGGCTCTCTCCTCATCCAAGACGCAGACTCTGTGCATGTCTGTGGGCAGTACTTGACTATCCAACCTGGCCACGCAGACACGCAAGAGAAACGTCCATCTCGGATTGGCCAGAACATTCTGATTGTTCCTCAGTATAGCCCTACCTGTCAGCAGCAGGCCTGGGCCTCAACTAGATCAATGGGGTGGTCCAAACGTGGTCTCGGCTGCAGCTGGCTCTCCTTCAAGCTCCGGGGAGCGTTGGCCATGCCCGGCATGGATTCAGTGCCTGAGCAGCAGATCCACCCAAGGCACATCTCCTCGAACACAAGAAGACTCACTTGACCGATGCTGTCATGTGGATGGCATCCTCCTCCTAGTGAGTGACTCTGGAACTAGAAAGAGGTCAGTTTGGTGGCTTTTGCTTTGGGCAACTAGGGGGAAATTCACCCACGTGTTCTGATGTTACCTCCTGCAGCTACACCTAAGAGGAGCAACAGAGCAGAGGCTCGGGGCGGACCCGTGCCCTTCTGATGCCCTGTGCGTCACGGCCATAGAAGCTGGCCACAGCAGGCCCAGGCTGTGACTGTCAGCGGCCATGCCCAGGAGGGGCAATAAAACAAGGGTTTGGAGGGCAACCGTGCCCTTCTGATGGCCCATGTGGCATAGAAATCGAAGCTGGTCATCCTGGGGCTAGGCTGTTACTCCCGACAGCCTCCCCCAAGAGGAACGGCAGCAAGGGCTGGCCGGAAAGCTGGCCTCCAGTGACCTGCCGAACCCGCAGGTACAAGCCAGCCGCACCGGGGCTGTGGTGTGACCTGCCAGCAGCTGTGCCCCAGGGGCCACTAGCGGGCCCCTAGAGGGGGTGTACCCTTCCTGGTGGCCCCCACCCCCACCCCCGCCGAGGCTGAGACGGAGCTTCTCAGCAGGAGCGCCCGGAGGAGCTTCTCAGGCCCCCATCCTGGGAAGCAAGGTCCCCTGGTGACCGCTGTGACCTTAGCCAGAAGGTCCTCTGGAATGGCCGCCGGGCCACGGGAGTGGCTCTCTGTGACGTCTCCATCCTGGCCCTCGGGCTGGAGAGAAGCCAACAGCACTTGTTACATAGCCGCTGCTTTTGCTCTGTGGCTTCCGGGCCGGCTGTGTCCGCAGTCACTGCTGCCTTCTGCATCACTGGTCTGTTTTCGAGCTGTCAGGACGCGTTCGACACAGCCGCCATTGGGTAAGGAACTTGACTCGGACGGGGGGCAAGTCTGGCAGCAGCTCACTAGCCGTTTGTCAGCTTCTCTGAAGGATCCAGATATAGTATTAGCTCAGAGCTTCACGTTGTCGCGGCGTCATGCCCTCCTCGACTTCTGCCCTTCTCAGTTCTCGCGTTCTCTCTGACACAAACCCTCTTCTAGAGTTAACACTAAAGACCGCGTCTTTTCTGTCGCTGTGTTTGCGGGTGACGTCCGTGCTCTGTCCGGCTTTAACATGTGTCCTGTAGTCGCGCCGAGTTCAGTGCTCGCCTCTCGTAACTTGGGGGTGGGTTTCCTTGGGCCCCGTAGGTATGCTGCATCGTCAGGTGCAAAATGTGGTCAAGCGTCCTAGTGTGCGTGCTCATCTATGCATTTGTGTATCTACCTCATTTCGTTTTTTCTTTCTAATCACACACATTCCTTTCGCAAGGGAAATGTAGAGCAGTTGGGTTACATAGAATGCCGACTCTCATTAGAAATAGAGCCTTTTCTTAGATTCTGAAAGAAACCTTCCATTGCTTTTATTAAAGTTTTGAATACTTGCTGAAATTTTTAAATGAAAGTGGTTGTTTACCATTTTTGCTGCTTATTACGATTAACTGTGTTGATTAGTTATGTCTTACCCACTTCTGCACTTCCAGAGTGAGCCCCCCCACCAAATCGCAGTGCTGGCATTCCACGGGCCCGGGGTTTCAGCCTTGTCGTGTGCCCTGGGACCCTCACCAACCCCCCCCCCCCCGCCAGGCCGCATTAATTCAACCAGAACCGAACACTTGACTCGAGGGCAGCAACCAGTCATCAGAGCCGACTGGACACGACAGGCTGGGCCTTTCCGGTTCAATGTCTGTGAAGTGCAAACGAAAAATGAGAGAGGAGTTTCTAGTTGGTATTGGAAGAAAAAGGGAGCCACACGATATTTAGAGGAGTTGACCCCATGGGTGGCACCAGCTGGAAGACGTGTGGGCTCCTGCTAAGCACTCCAGAGCTGCCTCAACTCCATCACCCCGACGGAGTCCTGGCCTCATTATGTTCTTGGATTTCGGGCAACTGCCCCCATCAGATCATTTGTGTCCCCACCGTAGTCTCCCTTGACCTGAGCCAGCTTGAGTGGGTCTCTGCTTTCTGCAATCTGTCAAGAGTCAGTTGCCTTTTACCACTTGGCTGCTTCCTGAGAAGAATCACATGGCTGGTTTTCCTCATGTTCTACCCGGCTCGAGTTCCTGGCCCAAGTCCCACCTGACTATCGGAAACACCTGTTTGAATGTGGTACTGAACTCCGTTCACTCAGATGGGTAAAAATCTATGCCTTTTAGTCTCAGTGAGTTGGACCAATGCCTTTCTGTCCAGGTAGCATAGCTGTACGGATCCCCTGTTTGTCCCATGAAATGAGTTTAAGTCAACACCCACCCTGTTGTTTATTTTGGAGGTGTCTCGCTACTTCCAGAGAATCCATCAGATTGGGGAATTGAGAATTTCTCTATTATTGGTATACTTACATTCTGTACTTCTCCTAGTATCAGTTTAGGTGTTTACCTTCAAAACTAGAAATGGTCTCTTTTAACTTCGCCTTCAGTGTTCTTTGCATATCTAGGAACAGTAGCCGTGTCTGCCCCGGTCCATATTTCAGTTGTTGGCGCTCTTCTCTCATTCCTCCCTGATCTCCTTAACTTGTCTGTTTTATGGCACTTACTATAATCAGCCTTGCACTAGAGCTTCGCCCTCCCCACCTGCCCCCCACCCGTTAGATTGTGAGCTCTTATAAGACAGGGGTGACCCTTCATGTCTGATTCCCCTACCAGATCTAGCACAGTGCCTTGCATCAAGTAGATTTCAATAAATATATGTTAAATGGCATTGGTGTTCCTTGACTTATTTTGTCAAAGTTCAGGTCAACAGCTCTTCCCTTGCTCCTTTCTCTACGCTCTGAAGTTCTTGCCCCCTCCTGGGATCCAGGTGTTATCTTGGGCCTCCCCCCTTACTGGATGCCTGGAGGGGACAGGAGGTGCCCTGATGACCGAGGGCTGGCTTCCCTGGAAATTTGAGCTGCCCCTCGGCAGAAGAGGCCTGTCATTCAGCCAGGTACCTTCTCCCACCCTGGCTAGGGCTCTCCCCCGAGTCTGAATTCCAGTGGGAGCAGAACACCAGGCTGGATCCTGAGCTCCTCCCCTAGGGACCAGGAAGCGAGTGACAGAAGTGGCTTCTGGGCTAGGTGAGGGTGGGAGTGGAGAGGTCAGTCCTCTTGGCCAGTGGCTGGCCCTCTTTCTAATGATCATTTCCTCAAAAAGGCAGGTAGTGAGGACAGGCCACTGGCATCCTAACCCTCCCAAACACAAACAAAGCTCAGCTGTGGAGTCAGCTGCCCAGTCCCAGAAGGACGAGCACAGAGGGGGGGGCCCCAGGAGTGCTTGGGTTGGGACCTCCCAGGCCATGATGTGCTACATCAGCAAGGAACAGGATTTTGGAAAGGCTTGTGTCATCTTTCCTCCAGGGTCCCATCCTCATCAGTCTGTCAATCATTTTTCTACCCCAAATGCAGCTTCTCAGCAGGTGGTCTGATAGCACCAGCCCAGCCATCGCTGCTCACAAGCCAGTTATTGAGAAAGAACCATTCATTTACTTTGCTGGTTTCACGATGTACTTGCCAATGAGAATTCCACCTATTTTTCCCTAAAACACATGCAAGCTCTGTTCGGGCAAGCTTCAGTTGTGCAAAAGTCAAGGCCACAGGTCTGCTCAGACATCTAATACTGGGCCCAGAGGGTAGGGGACAGCCTAGGGCTTCTCTCCAGGGGCCCTGTGGGCCTCTAGTGGGGGTTTGAGAATGTTCCTTTCTGTCCCTTTCTTAGTGCCCCTGCTTTCTGGAGCCCCGTAGCTTCTCCAACACTGCCCTCCTCTGAGACCCCCAAGAAGTCTTTTGCTTCCCTGGGAGTTCACGGTCCCCAGACCCCCACGTCATGGGCCAGCACCTGGGCCTCCGTCATTGCCCTAGCCCAGGCTCCCGCCTTCAGCCCTCTGCCCCAGCCCACTTCTGTCCAGCTCACATCCCACCTAGAAGGGGCCCCTGGCATTGTCTTGGTCTGTTCAGGCTGCTATGACAAAACTACCAGAGAGGTGGTTTATAAACAACAGGCAATTATTCCTCACAGTTCCGGAGGCTGGGAAATCCAAGACCAAGGTGCTGGCCAAGCCAGCGTCCAGTGAGGACCCGCCTCCTGATTCATAGGTGATGGTCATTTTGCTGTGTCTTCACATGATGCAAGGGTGAGAGAGCTGTCTGGGGCCTCTTTTTTATAAGGGTGCTCATCCCATCCCTGGGGGGCTCTGCCCTCATGACCTAATCACCTCCTAAAGGCTGATGCCGTCACATCGGGGGTTAGGATTTTAATGTATGAATTTGGGGGGACACAGACATTCAGAGGTGAGGGTACCTGGACTTCTCTTGGATTTATGCACTTATTAGCTTGATTTATAGATCAGTGAACTGTTTGGATTTCTTTCCACAGAGCACACACTATTATGGCTTTGATTAAAAGATTTGTAAAATACATAATAAAAAACATGGTCCCCAGTTTTTCTTTTCAGGCAAGACAGGTCAGAAAATCCTTGCCTTGCCTCACCCCTTTTCTGACCTTCATTCAACAAGCATTTATTGAACACCTGCTGTGTACCAAGCTCCAAAAGCAACTGAAACAAACCTCACCCTCAAGGACAGACACGTAGTCAGAATGTTACAAGTGGGACCTATACTCACCAAGCTGGGCTCCTAGGATTTGTACATTTTCGGGATGCAGTTTACACTTCAGTTAGGAAAATGAAAAAGCTAAACACACAAGCTCAATATTAGCAAATTAACCCCCCCCGCCCCTGTCTGCAGGTCCTGTTGATTTTACACCTCAACCTCCACACCCGGCCCTGGCTCCTCCCTGGAGCCCCTTGGGCTTTCAGACCCGACCTCACTGCCTGGGAGTGGCCTGCACCCACAGACTGGGAGCCCCCCGAGGCGGGGTGGGGCAGATCCACCCCGGCCCCGCAGCACCCAACCCAGGGCCGGGCCCAGAGTAGGCCCTTGGTGAAGGTGTCTTATGAGCGGGTGGGAGGACGAGACTCTCCCACCCCAGGTCAGGACCTGAGGGACCAGACTGCACAGGGGGGCGGCCTCGGCCTGGGCCTCCCCTCATCTCCCTTTCTCCCCTCCCAGAAGGAAGCGGTGGAGATGATGGATCAGATCGTGTACTGGGTGCGGGAGGACCCGTCGGGGCTGGGCCGGCCCCGTCTCCCCGGGGCCCTGGCCTCCGAGTCCATGGCAGTGCCCATGATGCTGCTCAACCTGGTGGACCAGCTCGGGGAGGCGGACGAGGAGCTGGCGGGCAACTACGCGGAGCTGGGGGACTGGTGTGCCCAGAGGATTCTGCGGCATGTCCAGGTTGGGGGGGGGGGACACACCCAGGGGACAGGAGGCTGACGTTCACCTGCCAGATGGGGCCTGGGAGCTGGGGGGGGGGGCAAGGTGACTCCCACTCTCTATGTCCTGGGGCACCTCCTTTGCCTACACCCACACCCCCAGCTGGGCCTCGGTGGCCCCCTTGTACAGACGGGGGAGACATGGCGGGGGTGGGGGTGGGGGCGGGGAGCACGGCTGGGGCTCAGGAGCCTAGACCCTGGGAAAGGCGGAGGGCCCGGGGGAGCCCGCTAGGGCCAAGGCCAGGAGGGAAGGTGCCAGAAGCCCTGGCACGTTAGAGAGCAGGAAACCCAGCCAGACCCAAGTTCTCCCGGGCCTCTGTATGTTCCAGGACAGCCACTTGGGTGGTGGTGGCAGGACCTCCTGGTTGGAGACGGCAGGAGTTGGCAGGTGCCGGGAGGATGAACTTCAAGAAGCCGCACGGCACCAAGCTGGCTATGGAAAGGTGTGGAAGATGTATTTGGCCAATTCTCACTATCGGGGAATGAACTTCTGAAATTCAGTACGAATTCTGAAATCTCTCTCCCGATGCAATGTTATTCTACTTTTGTTACCCACTCTCACCCCCCAGTTTTCAGGGCCCGCCAGCCAGGACAGGAGCCGTGCTCTCGGTTGCCTGCAGCTGGCTCGCGGGGTTCCCGCGCCGTGTCCTTTACGGCTTCACACCGGCGGGCGCGTGGCGCCTGATGCTTTTCGAGCAGCCTGCTGGATTTCCGAAGAAAAGTTTCAGTAGCATGTTTTCCAGAAGGAACTTTGTACCTAGGATTAACAGTTTGGTCGAATCTCAAAAAACCTTTGTGTTTAGTTACTATAGCAGTCCTTGTGACAAAGATTTCTTTTAAAATTTTCAGCAATTGTTTCCCTAAAGCATTTTATAAAGTCTTGTTTGAAGTCTGTTCAGTTGAGATCAAATGTGCTTTAAGAACCTTGTTTTCCTCTAAAACTTGGTTCTTTTCTTCACGTGTTCACATTCTTTATTATTTCAAGATCAGAGATGATTTACCAAAGAAGCAGTTGTAAACAACTTTGGAGATTATCCCCCGTGGAGATTCCGCTTTGTTTCCTCCCGGCAAAATGCGATCCTTCCCGACATTGCCTGCACATTTATATGCATATGTATACACACACACTGGAGAGTTTCTCGTACTCTATGTTTATTCTGCAACTTGCTCTCTTCACATGTACGTGTGCCTGGGAGAGAGGTTTTAGTTCCAGCTACGTCTGCTCCCCGCTTCCCCTCCTTGGTGCACATGTGGGTGTCTGGCAGGGTTCCCCTCATGGAGACAATGCTGCGAGGACACCCTTGCCCCATCACACAGCCGCGAGCACTGCTGTGGAGCAGTGCTGAGTCAGGGAGGGCGGCACCAGTCGGCTCCAATCAAGGGACAAGCAATAACGCAGCTAGTGGCTTAGAGAAGACTCAAGGTTATTGGGCCGAGCAGTCCAGGTGGAAGGGGTAGCTCCGGTCCACACAGTCACTCAGGGACCCCAGCTCCTTACATCTGGGTTCTCCTCTCTCTCCTAGTGCAGTGCTTCTCAAACCATTTGTGGTGAAAAACCAATTTATATCCACCCACCCCCAGTCCATTTCGGACTAAGGCTTTTGTAAAATGCAATAAAGAGATCAGGGGCGCCTGGGTAGCTCAGTCGGCTGAGCAACCGACTCTTGATTTTGGCTTAGGTCATGATCTCAGGGTCATATAGTCAAGCCCCCTGGCCGGCTCCGTGCTCAGTGGGGAGTCTGCTTCTCTCCCTCTCCCTCTGCCCCTCCCCCCACTCGCGCATGCCTCCCCTCGCATGCCCTCTCTCTATATAAAGTGAATAAACAAAGCTTTAAAAAAAAAGATATCATGGTGACGTTGAATTGCTATAAAAGCTTCACAGCACTTCCTCCTGATACCTGCGCTAGCCTCATCATGGACCACTGAGGGTGGCTTGCAGCTGAGCAGTGGTCCAGGAACCATACCCAGGAGCTCGGCTCGAGGGCATTGCCTTCACTGCAGGGTAAGCTCCCACACAGGCACATCTGTGCTCTGGATCCTGTGAAGTGCAGGGAGGAGAATGGTGCGCGTCCAGGGTGAGCACTTGTCTTCTGAGCAGGTGAGGCAGAAGTTGGACACATCACCACTCTTGCATTCCATTGGTGAACTCTTACTCACATGGCCACCACACTTACCCCCCAAGGGAGGCTGGGAAACAGTCTAGCTGAGCCCCCAGCACCCAGGAAGAACAGCCCTGGACGGAGACAAAGAACAGTCTCCCCAACAGATACCCAGAAGTGGGTTCGAAGAGTACAGGCATTTAAAAAAAATACTGTCAAACTTCTCTCCAAGAAAGTCTGTACCAAGCATGTACAAGAGTTCCCGTTGCCCCTCACCCTAGCCAATATTGATGG